GCACACAGCGTGAACCATCACATCCAGCACACCCTGGCATGCAGTGGCCAATGTGCATAACAAAGGCACATGTGCACTGCATGCAGGTGTGTGGGGATGTGTGTGTGCACGTCTATGCAGACATGCATGTACATGCAGGAGTGTGTGCAGATGTGTGTGCAAGTGTGTGCGTGCACGTCTGTATGTGCAGATGTGTGTGCAGATATGCATGTGTGTGCAGGAGTGTGTCTGTGTGCGCAGATGTGTGTGGGACTCACACCTGAGCTGTTCAACGGGGCCACTCTTTGGAGACGAGGTCAGGAGCCAATGAACTCACGGAGTAATTGCAAGTTTCCTAATCCTAAGAAATGAGGAAGCGGAGGAGGGAGGGGCAGGGAGGGCATGAGGAGACAGAGCAGCTCTGAAGGGAGCTACCCAGACACGGGAGTGTCCGAGAGAAGAAAAGCAAGTGAAGGGAAAGGAAGCGGATGCCGCGGGGTAAGCCGAGTTCTCTCAATCTGTGGTCTTTGAACATGTCGAGTCACCAGGGTGCATGTTTCTCCTGTGTCTGTCGATCTGAAAGAAAGAGACGGAGCCACAACCTAAGATTTCAAAGGTTGACTCGAGCCAAACCGGGGACAGGGGCCCGGAAGACCGAGAGACCCAAGGACACTCGGGATCTGAGTTGTATTCTGCCTTTATTATAAGCAGGTTTTTAAAGGCCAAAAAAAAAAAAAAAAAAGAGGGAGGTGATGTTGGGGGACAGGGAGGAGGTGTCTGTGAAACTGTGTGCTGGGAATTCTTGTTGGTTTACAGCAAAAAAACAATTGATTAATGACTGGCTATACATTGCTAAGCTCCAGGGAGTCAGGATGTAGTAAGTACGGAATTATTACATTCATTGATAGCTATTTGTGGCATCCGGAAGCCGTCTCAAGAGATAAACATGACCAGGCACACAGTGGCTCACGCCTGTCATCCCGGCACTTTGGGAGGCTGAGGAGGGTGGATCACCTGAGGTCAGGAGTTCGAGACCAGCTTGGCCAACATGGAGAAACCCCCCCGTCTCTCTAAAAATACAAAATTAGCCTGGCATGGGGTGGGCCTGTCATCCCAGCTACTCGGGAGGCTGAGGCAGGAGAATCATTGAAGCCCAGGAGGCAGATCTTGCAGTGAGCTGAGATTGCACCACTGCACGCTCAGCCTGGGCAACAAGAGCGAGACTCTGTCTAAAAAAAAAGAGAAGATGAAAAGAGATTAACATAGAGCTGAAAGCGGGAGGAGTGTGATGGTGTTACTGGTTACTAGAATGGGTCCTTGATCCAGACTCCAAGAGACAGTTCTTCGATCTTGCACAGAAACATTTGAGGCAGGTTCACAGTTGCAAGTGAAGCAAGGTTTAAAGTACGTAAAGGGCCGGGCGGTGGCTCACGGCCTGTATCCGCACTTTGGGAGGCAGGAGGCGGGCAGATCATTTGAACTGAGGAGTTCGGAGACCAGCTGGCCACAGGCGAACCACATCTTTATAATACCAAATTAGCCGGGCCGTGGGCATGGGTGCCGTAACCAGCTACTCCGGGGAGGCTGAGCAGGAGAATAGCTTGAACCCGGGGAGTGCGGAGGTTGCAGTGAGCCGACAGAGTTGGCACCATGCACTGGCCCTGGCGACAAGAGCAAAACTCCATCTCAAAAAAAAAAAAGAACGATAATAAAGAAAAAAATCACAGGAGATATGCCCACTACAAGGGTTTCTGATAAAGGTTCATTTTTGTCATGTCTATCTTTTGCAATAACCAGATATTACTTTTTTTTTTTTTTTTTTTTTGGAGGCCGTCTGGTCCGGTCCCCCAGGCTGAGGCGGTGGGGCAATCACAATCTCACTGCTGTCTTTGAATTCCTGGGCCAGCAACTCCATTCCGCCTCCCGAATAGCTGGACAAAGGCATGCCACCATTCCTGGCGATACTTTGTATTTTTGTAGGGATGAGGGTTCACTGGTTTCCCAGGCTGGTCTTGGAACTCGTAGACTCAATCCGTCCTCCTGCCTCGCCTCCTAAGAATGGGGGATGACTGGCGTGGGCCACCGCACCTGGCCCAATATTATTATTCATGTTTAAAGCGAAACGTATCCATTACACTAGAAATAGCTTTTGTCTGAAGATATTCAAGACATTCAGGAATTTCCTGGTCGTTCAGCCTGGGTCTAGTTAGAAACAGTACTCATCTATGTCACAGTCTTGTGGCGGAATGGCTTGACCATCCGGGAATGCCGCCCAGCCTGTCCCAGCCGCCTTTTCCCAGCCCCCATTCAAGATAGAAAGTCCTTCTAAGCCGGTAGGATGTGATCCCAGCACTCTGGGAGGCCGGGCGGGTGGATCACCTGAGGTCGGATGTTCGAGACAGGCCTGGCAATATGTGCAAACCCGTGTCTCTTAAAAAATACCCAAAATTACCTGGGTGTGGTTAGCGTGCCTGTAATCCCAGCTACTCGGGAGGCTGAGGCAGAGAATCGTTTGGGGCCGGGAGGCGGGGGGCTGGAGGGTTGCAGTGAGCGAATTGCACCACTGCACTTCCAGCCAGCCTGGGCGACAGAGCGAGATTCTCCATTATTTAATAAATGTACATTAAGGCTAGATGTGTGTGTTTCGCCTGTAATCCCATTATATGTTGTGGCTGAGGTAATTGTGTTGTGTGTGTGTCTCTATGGTATTTCCATGACCTGCTTTTTGGGCAACATTTAAATTATTTGTCATATCACGTCCTATAGAATTAATTGATTCATCATTTATAAGACAGGAAATGAAGGCATCTTAGATACTCTATCCGAGATTGGGTGTATGTGTATCTGGATTTGGTAAGCTTGCTTGTGTGTTTATATATGGTGTGCTAAATCAGATTCACGCTTCTCGTTGAGACAGGAACTGTTGTGTGCGCTCAGGCTGTAGTGCGAGCGGTGTTAGCACACCTATAAAACACCCAACAAGTGTTGTTTCTTCCATTTGTGGGTCGGTTATTCTGTCAATGTTCCCTGTTCCCTTCTCCCCGGGTGTGTGTGTTTCTGCCTCAGTGTACCTGTTTTTGGTTTTATACTGTGTTGTGTTCCCACCACCTGTTGTGTTAATTTTTGTATTTTTAGTAGAGAGGGGTTATCTCCATGTTGGTCGAGCGTGGTCTTGAACCCCTGACCTCAGGTGATCCACCTGCCCGGCTCCGCAATGTGGTGGGATTACAGGCCGTGAACCACATGGACTCATATGGATCAAGGATTGCTTCTAATCTCACCATGTTCTTTTTAAAATAATGAATGTAATTGATTTAATCTCTTATTTATGCACGTTACGGTACACAAGATCTTCAGAATGGGACTCCATCCCACAATGAGGTTCAGAAGCTTGTACACACCACGTTGAGGTACAGAAAGGATAGAGGTTGGGATCCTGGTAACAAAAAAAAAAAAAAGTTATAGGGTTGGGGGGAAAGAAGAGATCTAGTGCGGAGAAGTGCGATCTGATTATCGTGCCTGCGGTTTGTTGTGGTTCTGTTCGGAATT